AAGAGTGACATCTACCAGACACAAAATGTTACTAAATGCACAAGGCAAACAAATACAAAAAGAAATTGTCTTTGTTGCCAATTACTTTTAGTTATGCCATAGCATATAGCCAGGAGCAGATCTACAAAAATGCAGCATGGTGGACAGCACAATGCATGTACTCCGTGGTAGTCTCAGTGCCAGACAGTGCACAGCATGTGGCCATACGATTGCAGAAGGGTGCAACTCCATCTTCAGATATACCCCACCCCCCCAAATCTGTCCCTGCAATACAGTAGGACCACAATTAACTTAGGAAAATGGAACTGCAAAAATAAAACCAAACTTCAGCAAGATGTAAAGGTCTACATTTCATCAGAAATTTAGTTGCATGATTCCCTTTAAAGTTAACAGAAGTCACTCCGCATTGTGCTAAATATTTATTCCCTTCATCAAAATTCTCAATTTCCATTTGCTCAATGCAGTAAAAATACTCAGCATCTTAAAGGACTATTTTAAATGTGCACTGGATATCTTAAACCAGCCAACAATGCACATTTCATTTTGTTTTCAGGCAGTTTCATAATGTTAAGTATAACAATAAATAATAAATAGGGCTGTGCGAAGCTTTGGTCCCCGATTCAATTCGGTGGAGATTCGGCTCGATTCAGTGGCCAAATCTCCGAATCTGAAACGAATCAGGAGACCTTTAATCTCTCTGAATGGAATTGGAGAGATTCAGAAAGATTTGGCTATTTCAGACACAGACACAGCTTTAAATGTTTTTTCTACATACCTCAAGGTACCAGGCGCCTCATGAATGCTGCGATGGTGGAGCAGATGAAGCCTCCCACAGAAGCACAACACACCCCCCCCCCGCGCTCCCCTGCAGACCTGGAAGTGAACTGGAAGTGCTTCTGGTCCACTTCCGGGTCTGCTGCCAAGCGCACTGGGGAGCTCCACGCACTCCTGTGGGATGCTCCATCCGCCCCACCATCACAGCATTCACGAGCCACCTGGTACCTTGAGGTATGTAGAAAAAACGTTTAAAGCTGTGTCTGTGTCTGAATAGCCAAATCTTTCCGAATCAGCATCAAATCTTCAGACACGGATTTGGCCAAATTGAATTGGGGACAGTGATCTGAATCAATGAATCAAATCACTATCCCCGATTCCATTCAGACAAATCCAAATCGAATACGGCCTGTTTCGCACACCCCTAACAATAAAGGTAATATCAAATCAAGGTAAAGCTTGCAAATTGCTATTGCTTAGATGTTCTGCTCTTCTTTAACTTTCTTAAACCAAACAATCCCAAAATGTAATACAAAATATCCACATACTATTGGCATATTAGATAGTGCAAGGTGCTTTGGTTCTCTCCTAATCTTAACTGAAAATTGGGCTTTGAAGGATGGTTCATCAAAACATGGGAAGGCCATACGTGCAGCTGTTGGTTCAAACTGTGTTATGGCAAGTACTCTGTAATTAAACAAAAGGAAATAAAAAGTATTGTATCTTAAACATGTCCGTAAAAGGCAGTACAAATTCAGAATATTCCCCTCGCTCCTGCAAGCCAGAAGTTGATATTCAGAAAATAACTAGGTACTCCTATTTTATCGTTCCTCCTGTACACAAACACCTCATGATAAGCCTTGTCAAGTAGAAAAGTATTATTAGTCCCATTTTACAGGTAAGGAATTTAGGTGGAGAACTGAAATGTATTAGCACTATTTAAGAAATCATTTTTCTTTAGTAACAACTTATTCTTGAGTAACAAATTTATTCTTAAGTAGCAAACATTGATTGAAAAGGATTACCTCACTTCTCCTTCCTGAGTTCTGTAACTACTTTTATAAAAGCCATGGAAACTCTCTGATAGATTGGCTGAATACTCGATGTGGACTGTATAATTTTGTCCAACTTGCAGTGGTTCAGAAGCAAGGAGTGCAATCTGTTCAAATGGGGGGTGTTTCCAAACCATCACTTCTGTTTCTGCATGACTATTTCCTTTTCCTCCTTGGATGGTGGCTTTGGTAATCTGCAGGTGCTTGCTGTGCAAGATGATTGAAGTGGTTTGTTGGTTTACTGTAACTTGTATGTTGGCAAAGCCAGTAAACGTCAGAGTGGTGAGATTAGGGTGGATGAGTAGATCATAATGCACTGGGGTGACATGCTTGGGAAGCCTCATTTTATCCCAAGGAAACAGTTTGCTTCCATTACCAGAGGCCGTATGGTCTGTCTCACTAGTTCCACTGTGGTGGTCGCTGCTCACAGACCCTGCAATACTCAAAACACTTAACAACAGTAGTGTCTTCATCAGCACTGCTGACTGATCCACAGGTTGCAGAGTGAAGAATGCGGCTGCCATTCCTGCCTTTTCTTTCTGTTTCCTCACAAATGACTGTCTAAAAAAACCAAACAAACCCCAAAACACTTGTGAAATACATTCAGTATTTTAGTATAAGAAAAGTATAAGCCTTTTCTTTGCAATGAACAGCATGCACAGAACATGGAATTTTACTTGGGCTCTCTGTAAAACAAGGCCCTAAAGCTGGAGATATAAATAGGCAGACAACTGTTGCCTATTGACCTCCTGCCTAAATGACCCTCTGAAAGCTGTACTGCTCATTAGCAGCAGATGTGTTTACTTTACGGTACCAGAGTCTGGAGCTCTCTGTGCTCTCTGGCCATGCCAGGCAGGTGCTCTGGGAGGCTTAAGGGACTTGATCCTGTGCACACTGGGAATTCCCACGCTTGATCCCTCAAGCCCTGGAAAATGTGGACCCAGCTTCCCTCGCCTTCCAAGGAAAAACGCAGATATTCACCCTCCCAAGAGAAATTCTCCTCAGAGTGACCAAACCCTAGTTGTTCCCAAGTTATTTTTCTCCTGGAGTGGTCATTTTTACCCTAGGAGAAAAAGCCACGGATTGGTGTCTCCTGGGAGAACAGCAGTTCCCCCAAGAGAAACTGAATACCAAGACAAAACGTGGGATTGCTGAGCACAGCCCAGCTAGAAGGAGACCCCGTTTTCCTCCACTGCCCACATGCACCCCAGAGACCCTAGGGGCACACCCTGGTTAGCGGAGAAAGCTCGAGTAGCAGAGAAAGCCAGGCTGCCAGGGCTCAACTGTCTTTTGCCTTGCCTCATGTGTACATGTGTTTCGAGAAGTTGCTAACAAGTTTATCACTAATTTATGAATGAATGCAAAACATATTTTATTATGGCTAGAGAAAAAGAAACAGACTCAATCAGTATTACTTGCATATAGCTATGCATTTCCCTTCTTCAAAAGGAATAATAATGTCAGCCATGAAACCAAAGCTACATTATAAAGTGCTATACACTTTCAATTAGCAGAAAGAACAGCCTTTTATTTTAGCAAGCTGTCATCTAACGCAATATGTTGATTTTTCACATGCTTTTTCCTGCATTTTTCTAAGACACATTGGGTACGTCTACACGAGACATTTACTTGCAGTAGATTAATTAGCTGTGCAGTAAACGTCACACATCTGCACATGCACTCCTACTAGGCTGGAGTCAAATAATTGACTCTGCAGTATGATAGCACTTGTAAATACAAGTACAATCCTGCTGCAGGTTTTTTCACTCTGCAGCAGCGCAGATGCTGGAGGAGAGGGGACGACACAAGGTTGCTTCAGCGTGGGACTTGCCTGCCAGCTACCCCCGCGATGAAGCACCCTCATGCCCAGCCAGCCCCTCCGCAGCATGTTGAGCTGGGGGGCAGCGGCCCCGGGATGGCAGGCAGACCCCCCCAGGCAGGCTGACCCTTGGGGCTGCTCCAACTTGGCTCAACATGTGGCAGTCCTGGGTGCACATTCAAACGGTGTGCCTGGGAGTCATAAACTGCGGTGCAATAAGCACTGGAGTTTATTGCATTGCATTCATATGCTTGCATAGATGCACCCATTGAACACATTTCCCACTAGTGCCTGTTATCCTACCATCCGGCTTGCACTGCAACCGCTCTGAAGAAAACTTCCCTTGGGCCCTCTGACCTGCTCTGCGTTTTCCCTCCCCGTTTCAGACCGGGGCAGGCCCAGGCTGCATCACCCCCCTGCGGCGGGGCTGCCAACTCCACCTCTCTCCCGGAAGGTTTCATCACACGATGTAACGGATTACCGTACAGTGTGCAGGCTTTACGTCAGGAAGACAAATGCACATGACTATGACACTTCAAAACCCCACGGAAGCACTGCATAAATCGGATGCAACCTTTCATAACGATTTATTTTAATGCCTGCCCTATCATGTCTCCCCGGGGTGGCTCTCCGCAGGCTCCTGGAGATTTCCCTCCGAGTCCCGGAGGGACCAGGGCCGTGCTGGAGGGCAGCGACCCCACCCCGCCCCCGCATTGGCATCCGTTTTCCCTCCATACGCAGAGCTGCAGCGCGCCGGGGCCGGGGCCGGGGCCCGCGGTCTGCCGGGGCGGACAAGGGCCGAGCCCGCTGCCGGGGGCGGGGGCCCTAGCTTCCGCATCGCCCCTTCGCAGGGCCCTGCAGGCCGCCTCGGGCCTGGCGGGGCCGGGCAGCCCGGGCAGTGCCGCCGGCACCTGGCCGGCCCGGGCCTCCGCCTCCCCAGGGGCTGAAGTCGGCCCCCTGGTCCTGCTCCCGCGGCTCCTTTTTCCAAATTATTCTTTGAAAAAAATGAAAGAGCCCAAAGCTCTTGAAATTCTCTTTTTTTTTAAAGACGTTTTTTGTGTTCCCAGCCAAATCCGTGAGTCAGTGCAGAACCATAAGTGGCACCACCACAGGCAAACATCCTCCATCCCCACCAGGGGCGTCAGATATTTCCAGTCTTTTGGCAGGTGACCTATGTCTTTTGGCAGGCCCAAGTCCAGAGGCTTGGGGTTCGGATGCCCCCAAGTTTTGCCTGCCCTCAGCCACAGGGCCGCAGGAGCAAGCTAGGGAGGTGCCTCCCCTTTCCATAAAGTGGGCTTCAAGCCCTAACAGGCTTGTCCAACATACGGCCCGTGGGGCGCCATGCCGCCTGC